ATAATAAGAGTTTATACTATACTTGTTTGACATACCATTAATGGATCCTCTAACCTTGACATTTATTGTTATCATTATTTAATCCTTACGTTAATATTTCATCTCAAAGTTCTCATTTTCTTCTTCTTCTTCTCCTTCTTTTTCTTTATTACTACTACTATTGCTGTTGTTGTTGCTCCTCCTCCTCCTCCTCCTACTACTACTACTACTATTATTGTTGTTATTATTGTTGTTGTTGTTGTTATTGTTATTGTTATTGTTGTATTATTGTGATCTATATTTTATACAATTAACTTCCTTGTGGTTCAATCCCGGTCTTGCCGGGTTATTTATTACTTTGACACTCTTACACTTGGGAGAAGACATCAATCTTTTAGTCGTGTCAATTTCAATAATATATATATATATATATATATATAGTAACTGCAAATATATATCATATAATTTGAGTTTATATAATTAGGGTTGTTATAGATGAGTAATTAGGGATTTGATTAAAAAAATCTACAATTATGAATATATATCACAGGAATTTAATAAAGTGACAAGGAAAATCATAGATTATGTTTGCAATTATTCTTTTTAATTTGGTTCATATTGTGTCATGCATCTACGTTCCGCTTAAACTCTCCTCATTTCACACAAAAAGGCACCGTTTTATTACATGATATAAGGAGTTCAGAAGAGAAACATTAACAGTCCAAGACAACGACACTCATTGAAGGAATGCCTTACGATCTTGAGGCCCAATTGAAAATCTTGGTGGTTTCAGGGGATCCAAATGAGAATTAGTATATAGTTAGGGAACTGATTCAAGACCGCCTCACAAACCAGAAGGTAGTTAAGGAGACCAATCCGAATACGATACTGATTCAAACCTTAGCCAACATATATATATTATCGGCCACACATGGATTGTTTACATAAGAATTTATCATATCCTTAAATTGTTGACGAGCAGGTTTTCTCTTTACTTTCTTCGTTATTCTAGCGAGAGGTGCGTAGGTTTTCCCTGTAATCGATCTTAGCCATGGGGTTTAGCTATTTCTCGTACGATCAAGCATATGCTGATAGAATATTGCGAGGGGAACAAATCATACCATCTATTACTCCCTTTCATGTGTTCAACTACGATGATTTTTACGACGTCTGCACGACTGAGCATGGCAATGCAGAAGCAGGCGAGACAGTAGTGAACAATAATGTGTTCCATTACCATGATTGTTTTTATGATGTCTACGAACCATTCAAGATAGATTGGAGTTATTTCGATGAGTTGGTGGCTGAATTATGTGATGAGCTTGAGTTAACAACACTGCAGAAACCTCTAATGAAGGATGATGTTGCTGCTGTCCACCATGATGATGGAGTTGACGAGGTTGAGGGTGAGATTATTCTTTGGAGGCCTGCCGCCGCCCTGAAGTAGTTTCTCCGTTCATGTGAGAATGGACCACTCGCAAGCGATCTTGATCGATTAATGTTGTTTTTTTATTTTTACTAGAGATCATGATTTAATCATGCATGCGTTTTGATGTTGAGACGACAAGAAAGATTAGGGTTTGATGAGGTCGAGTGCGCCCGCATATATATATTAATTACACTTGTTGTTGTTATTACAATTCAGAGTAATTTTACTCTCATGCCTCAATACGTTTTATATTAAAATTTTATTTATTTGTGTGTTTTAAAAATATTTTAAAAAAATTAATTTTGTTTTAATTTTTTAATTTTCATATTATTTTGTTCTACTAATTAATATCTAAAAATAAATTTTAAAAAATAAAAAAATTATTTCAATACATTTATAAATAAAAAATACTTAAACAAAATAACAACTATCCATTAATAAACGGCCCTAACAATTTATTCTCTTTAAGTTTTTGTTAATAATAAATTAATGCTCTGCGACAAAGAAATAAAGAACAAGCTAAAGAGAGGCCTTTTGCCAGACCATGTGAGAATTGAGACTAGAGAGAGGTGTCTTTCACAGATTGAATTAAACCATTAAGAATATGAAATTCATGAGAAGTAGCCAAAAAGTGGAAGTGGGACCCCATGTCACTGAAGCTGAGGTTTCGCCACCAGTAGTGGCCCTAGCCCCACCAATAACTCCACCGGTACCAGCAGCTCTGCTGCCTCCCAAGGTACCACCGCCTCCAAAACCTCTACCGCCTTTAGCAACTGCTGATGTTACCATCAAACCAATGATCACCACCAGGAGAAGAAGTATCTTGCTCCCTTTGCTTGCTGAAGCCACCTTCATATACATATCTTAATATCTTTTCAACAACAACAACAATCACCCCCCTCGAATTCGATTGCTTGTTTAATGGTACTAACACAAGAAATTGATTAAAATATTTTCCTTTTCTTTTCTTGAACTGCCTATAAACTCTTGCAGGGACCAGTGTAAGAGAAGGGAGACAGAGGAGGGATTTATTGATTAAGGAGACGCGTGATGTGATGATGTTTCTTCCAGGAAAGAAGAGACCGTGTTGATAACATATTTGCTACTTTTGGATGACAATCGTCTTGGATGTTTCTTGGGAGGAAGCGACTAGTAAATTTTTTATAGGAAATTCTATGTTATTATTCTTATTTTCTAAAAGATTGGAGCTAGCTAGGACGTCGTCCAATTAGACGTCTACTGCTGCGTCATGACAAACTATCGAGATCTTCCATATTTATTTATTTTTAATCACTACTGGAATTCTGGAAATGAAGCCCATCTTTCATATGTTACAAGGGAAGGTTTGGAGACTCGAAGGCTTGGTGATTCATCTGTCTCTCCTTGTCCACCTAACATATGCTTGTGTTCTTCTGAAGGAGATTTGGGACTTGCAAAAGGGGCCAGCTGTGGGTCTTCTTGCATACTCTCTGCCATTAATAATTCCTCATGATGAGAAGACAAGAAATGAGTAGAGTATCCTTTCATCCTTGAGTCTTGAAATCTTCATATAACTCCATCGTTTGTGTTTGATAACTTATAATTTAGTTCCTTGATTCTTGAGAGCTTGGATTTATTCGATGACAACATTCGCTGTTTCTTTCTTAAGTTCCGATTTTTCCCTTTATCAATTCAAAGTTTTAGAGAAAAACCATGGAGGCAGGATCAACAATGAATGAAGAAGGGATGTATTTACAAAACACGAACTTTTGAGAAACAGATACCTATCATAAGACTTGTATATATATATATATATCTAACTAAGAAATCAGAAGAATATCCAAAGAGTTACGAGAGCATGCAAAAACATGGGGGCAGCATCCCTTGCAAGAGAGGCAGAGCCAGAATGTCCTCCGGCATGGGTACCACCCCTTACTATTGGCATAACACCACCAGCTCCAACAGGGATAGTTGTCCCCCTCCCTCCAGAGAGGACCCCACCGCTTTGTAATCCAGGGCTACCTCCTCTTGCTCGGGTGCCACCTCCTGCTGAGCTGCCACCTCTACTTCCACCACCAATGCTACCACCTCCGCCCCTTTTAGCTGCTGCTGATGTTATCAGTAGCGCAATGATTGTCACAATGGCAAGCATCTTGGTCTCTTTATTGAACTTCATCTTTGCCTTTTACACAGGGCAAAAAAGGAAAAAGCTTGCAAATTATATAGTGAACTCTTGAGAATTATTTTTCTCCTGTGTGCTTGAGAATTCCGGAACCCTATATATAATCAAGACAGGGTATGAAGCTAACCTAATTCAGCCGTGTTCTCTCTTTACAGTAGTCATCCTTTTATGACCTTTGAATTGACACGTTTCTTAGTGTTTGAATGGCTTTAACAATGAATTCCGAGAAACCACAAGATTAATTAATCCGTTATGGTGGACCAACGACATTGAGAGGGACTAGCTAGGGCCTTGGCTTCCAAATATAATCATCTTGTGGATAATGTTGTACGGTATCAACTTGCAGGTTGAATTGATCCAAAAAAAAATTCTGGTTGAAGTGTTCTCTTTTTTATTAAAAAAAAAATATTGGAGTTAAAGGAGAAAATTAAAAAAAACCATTAGCATTATATTATTATCCATATAGGTTTTCTGGCGGGTTGATGTTTTTTTTTTTCCCCTAGCAGAGAGAGACTTTTCTTCCCTCTCTTGATTCATACGCTACGATCTGGTCTCTTTTCTGTCTTTGTGTTATCAATCTATGCTGCAGTTTTCCCATTGTTTCACTAGTTCCTCTGTTTTGTTTACTGAAACCGTCATTTTTTAACCTCTGTTTTCACCAGCTTCTTTAATGGTCACTATGGATCAGGTAATGGCAGGTGAGATGCACACTGTGTTCCTTTGTCACATTGTGCATGAAGAGATGGTTGCAGGGAAGGAAGGTTCTTCATCCATCAACCCTTTGTCACGAAAGAAAATAATTATTGGCTATGTGAGGAACTTGTTAGGATCCTCAAGAAATGTGTAGTGATACTTGTTAGGTTCTTTGATGCCGATAAGATTTGTTAAATCATGGATAACAGTGTTAAAATATACAGGAAAACATCAAAATGATGATTCTTTGACAAAGTCAAGTGCAGGGACCCCATTGTACACTCCATTAACTACACGAGATAAGAAAAGCCATCCATAATTGTGGCCCGACCCCATGCACAGAGGAAAATATCATTTTACTTTTGAAGTTAATAATTTTGGTCATGACAGCAAAGGAACTTGATGGACGGTCAGGATTGATTGCTTGAATTTAAGAAACGTAAATTTGTCGTCCAGAGGAAGAGATCCATGATTCTCCACCCACTAGGCCAACCTTTTTGGTGGTTTACCTTCTACACTGAACGTTAGCTAGGAAGATCCGCATCATTTTCCCTATTTTCAGCCTTTACAGTAACAAAAAAAAATGGAAGCTCTTCTCTACCAATTCACCTTGCTCTCCAACCAAGCTTGCCAAGACAAAAACTACGATCCCTCCTCCATTGATGACCTAATGAAACTCTTTGAGATAGAGGCGTACAAGTCATGGGTAGCAATGGAACTCGAACAAGAAATGGAAGTCAAAGAAGCTGAAGTAGCTGTGCAACAAGCTGAGGATTATCTTGATTCAGACATGGAAAGTGCCATGGATGAATTTAGGAGGTTTGAAGTGGAAATGGAACGCATGGCGATGAGTGAACTGGAAAGTTTAGAAAGAACTGCTGAGAGTGCTAGGAAAATGGGAAACCTTTTGGAGAAAGCTGCTACTTTTGCTTCTAAGAAGTATATGGAGGCTGCACTTAATTCTGCCACTGCTTCCATGAAAACAGCTTGGAAGGGACTTTCCTCTAAAAAGGTTCATCCTTCATAAGAGACCTCAATTTTTTTCTTCCCATCCTTGAATGTCCTTTACCTTGTTCTAAAGAGCACATGTATGGAGCTGTTTTTTCTGTACTTGGGACCATGAATTTGCAGCCACATGATGAAGCTATCTATAATAAGTTCCTAGCATGTGAAAGTAATCTTCCATATTTACCTGAGATCAAGTGTTAATGGATAAAATGAAAGCAACATGAGTAGCTTTGGAGTTAATGAAGCCTTGCCATTATGTCTTTTTTGGATGAAGTCTTTTGCATTGAAATCGTAGTATAAACAAAATTTCCCTTCCTTTTGGAGGGCGTAAATTCAAAAATTTCAGACGAATTTCAGAATTCGGCAGCCTATTCCTCAATCAATCTGTGATTCTACATCCAACTCCACCTTCAGTTCAGCATATTAACTCACAGCAGCATATCTTTAAGATTACCACTGGGAAACTGGTGTAAGATGCAAAGATTGTAATTAAGAACTTCAAGGGTTCTATGAATAAGCATTTATAAGTGTTTCTGCTACATAGCTTTGCATGCCAGAAACAGCACGGTGATAGCATTATTATTTTTCTCAAATGCTGAGAAAGTGGCATCAAAGGTGAGAAAACGCCAGTAAAAACGTTCAGTAACTCTGAGACTTAATAGAGTCAAAATAGGAATCGACTACCAGCACTGTTAACATGCTGGTACGAATGACAGGCAGGCGAGTAATGAGGTTATGGTCCCAGCAAGTGAAGCAAGTCAGACACCTGGCTTGTATAATAATCTGGCTGGACACTGTTTGATGGATCTTGAAGAGTGGTTTGAGTTGTTACCCCTGCAAGTTGCAGCAATAGCATGATTTGAGTTAACATTCTATTTCGGAAAAGAGGAACTGCAGAAACAAGAGAAATCAGTCTACCTGAAAGAACTAGGAGAGTTTTGCAGCCAGCATTTTGTCCAAATAATATATCAGTATCTAATCTATCACCCACCATACACATTTTGGAGGTATTGATGTGAAACCTAAAAAACAGAAGACGCACCATGCATATCATTTACAAAATATTTCTGGAAATAGGAGAGTATAAATTATTACTAAGTCTGTAATCATGTCATAGCATGAAATGGGGATCCATGGTTATGTTGCTGGCATATAGTATTTCCAGTGCATCAAGGAGTTAGTTTGGACCTATGATTCTACATGGGGTTATAACCCTAGTGAGTTGTGTCTCCCATCTTTTGAGGCATCCAGACCCCCAAATAGGTGATGCATCTGTGTGAGTGCCAATCTACAGAAGCTAAAGGGTGAAGAAGAATAATGTGCAAAAGTATCCCATAAACTTACTTTTGTAATAAGAAGTCCATCATAAATGTTGATGGTTTTCCAACTACAATAGGCTCTCTCTCTGTTGAACTGCACATGGCAGCAACCATAGAGCCCGCACCTGAAACCCAGAACCAAAATTAAAGAGGCGAAACTGCAAGGCACATGATCTTACAATATAAGCTATAATTGCTTACCAGGCCACTCCTGTAAATCAGTCATATGTCCCACTGCATCACGATTCGTAGCAATAAAAAGGCAACCAGGATTCTCACGTATGCATAAGGTTCCATACCTGCCAATTCAATATTTATCTTAAACCAATAAGGATGTAGTTTAATAAAACTCTGTACTTATTGGTATTTTGCTATCTATCAACTAAGAGGTTTCTTGTAGAATCAATTCCAGAATAACATAAATGTGACAAAGATTTTGTATTGAATTGTCATTTCATTTTTTAACAAAGGAAATACCTAAGACCTATACCGACCTTGGCAGCTTAGCTAATGATCAATTTGCAGGAAATATTTTTATCCTTGAATATGAGAGAAGTTGACTAGTGAATTCATGCTCTGCTGTTGCCTTCAGACATCAATTTCAAATTGCTGTAAGGGCATCTTGTTCTAATTAAATTTGTAAAGAACATGACAGAGAATCACACTGTAGTTAATTTAACATGGTAGATGAGGGGTTGTAGTATCTAGAATCTCATACTGAAGCTTGTAATAGTTGATGTGTGGGTCTATTCCAACCACAACCGCTCCAACCTGAGACAGGAGTTGCACCATTACAAAACTCAAACAGGCAAAACGAACAAAATAAAGAAATTGCAGGCAAGATGTTACTTTACACTCTTATCATGTTCAAAGAGGGAATTTGGTTTCAGCTCTACTCTTTTTTCACCATCTTCCTGAAATAAATCGGTGGCAGAATATTGTTTAAAACAAGAGCAAATGGTAAATTGTGGTTCTGGTTAAAGAAAAAACACAGTTAAAAGGGTCACTTCCTTCAAGACTAAATGTAAGCTATAAGAAAGTAACAGCAAGGACAAGATGGCTAACACTTCAATGTTAGATAAGAGGATGAACATCTGCAATGGCAAGGGATAGAACAATGTTGAAGATAAAAGTGTGGTAAGTGAACCATCTATGAGGAAAAAAAGGTAAGCCTCCTTCCAACAAGGAAAAGGTACCTTCAAAATTTTTATAGATGGAGGAAAAATTATGTCATTATTTTCAAGGAACCTAATAGTTCCTCATTGTCTTTTGGCGAGGAAGGTTGGGTTATGTGAACTCTTTTGTTATGCTACTATTCTCCAGCATAAAATAAGTAGCTAGCCACACAAGAATATTTCACTCTGCTGATAAGAAAACTCAGAGAGAAAGTGAGGAAGGGAAGGAGAAAGATGGTTACAAATTATGCAAAGCATAGTCTAATAGAAATGATAAAAGGCTGGGAGCATGTATGCAGCCCACGGTTAATAGACAATAGAGAGAAGCAACTTCAATGAAGAAACAGTGTTTAAAAGACCACTGAGTTGTGTGTAAGATGAACTTTTTGTTCAATTCCAAACATTAGTGGTATGCTAGATGACAGCCCAAGAATGGAAAGATGTATTGAAATCAATTGCGAATATTTGGAGGACTTACAGGGCCACCAAGACCAGTATATCCAGCGAGCTGTAGCTCTGCCAATATACCTTCCCCGCCTATCACATAAACCTGTAAAAAGAACAGATGAGTAACTGCATACACAAAGCTAACTGTGCTAATTAAACACAAGAAATCGTCTGTACAGCAATTTGTTATCATCCAATCAAACACAGTTTCAAAGAAAGATGCAAACCCATTGACTGGGTCGTGTAAAAATTGTGATAGCACCAACACCGAAACATTACCAGTATTAACACAATTTAAAGTCAATCCTATGAGCCAGCGAAGAATTTGTTCAGGCATAAATCAAGAACTGAAAACGTGATCAAAAGGGTGTCTAAAAGTAGCATCAAACCTTCTTTTCCTGAGGAAAGTTATTGACTTTTAAGTACATCGCCGCCGCGAAAGAGGAGGATAATATCTCATCCTACAATCATTACAAAATTCAAAATACACGGCAAGAAAGAGATTTAAACACAACTGTTATCAACAAAATGCCATAGAAACAGACCTCAGCAACAGAGATTCCAAGTGAATGGAACTTCTTGGCATATTGGA